CTGAACCTTGGCAGGGGAAGCAACCATGTGTTAAATTTAAAGAACCCAGATCCCCTTTGGATATGACTATGGAAGGAGAGCCCAAGTGTAATCATCCTGTGATCAAATGATTTACAAGGACTGGTGGTGATTATTTCAGCCGTTGTAACCAGTCCTACCAGATCCTCCGACACTAAAGTGAGGTCAATGTGCGAATTGGCAAGGCCCCTGTCACCCCTAGATGGCAGTCAGGTATAGGCTTGTTGGGTGGGGTGTAATATTCTATACGCATCTTCCAGTTCCCGATCCGAGTTGTTTAAGCACCAGATTGTCTGGACATAGGCTTGGCAGCGAAGGGGAGTCGGGGACCTGCCTTTGTGATGTGGATTTGCGATCCAAAGCCGGATCTAGTGTGGTATTCAAGTTCCCAGCCAGAAGGAGCGGTGCATCGCTTGACAGGTGTTGGTGAAGAGCAAGCCAAAAATTAACTCTTCCATTGGGGTCGTTAGGTGCGTAAATGCTCACCAAATATAACTCCTCCCAAAAGCGATTTTAAGGCCTACCCACCTCGAGATTGGAGCTCTGTGAGGAACGCCGTTGAGAGCTTACGCGCCTAGCGCTGACCTGCGCTACGAACCGGCCGGCGAGGCCCAGCTGCACTCTCGAGACTCGGGCAGTGGCGACCATCGCTGCTCCTGGTCATCCTAATTGCCCGCCTGGTTGTTATGACTAGACGACGCCCACGGTGTCGGCAGTGGCAGCAGCGGTGATGACGACAACAATAACACCAACACCAACAACAACAACGACAACACATGCGACAACAACGACAACAACACTTCCTCGATTTCTCCCCCCATTTGTAGGGGGTTTTCCTTTGCATTCTTGGTCTTTTGTCATCCTTCAGGTAGGGGGGGGTTAGTTATTGAGTAACGGTTTAAGGGGATTGCCGGCCCTTCATCCCCATTTACAGGGTACTTTGATACGCTAGATACGTTTGTGGTTATGAAGGTGGGTGGTTAAGGTGGGCACTACATTAATAATGAATTGACACGTGGGGTGGACCCCTCATGTACCTTGTGATGCATTACGGTTATAAGAGCAGCAGGTTAATCCTCCCCTGTTATGGGGGAGTAATAAATGCCTCTGCATAAACAATATACAGAGTCATGATCGGTTTATATTGGGATGACCATGTTAGAGTTATAAGAATAGCAGGTTACTCCTCCCCTGGTATGGGGGAGTAATCAATGCCTCTTCTGTGTAAACGATATACACACTCATGATCGGTTTATATTGGGATGACCATGTGGCCTATCTACAAGATTTTCATTTCATCATATCATTTGTGTGTCTTTTTAACGGGGAACGAGGGAATTAAACTCCCGTTGAATCCCGTTGAATTTGAAAAAATCCCGTTGAATACCCGTTAAACGCAAAAATGGGCCGCTCCCGCGCTTTTCAGAAAAACGGAATTGATGCGCGGGGTCCGGAACACGTGGCCCTAGGCAAAAAAAAAACAAAAAAAAAACATTCCCCCAACCCCAGAAGCACCTCTTATACCATCGAATTAGACCAACACCGACCAGCCTGCCACCCGCCACTCACCAACCCCTCAGCACTAGTCCCCAAACCTACCCGAAAACCCTCTAATCCATCCGCCCCCACATCCCCCAACCCCCAAGGCCCCAATTATGTGTGTGCAAGGGCGAGGTCCCAACAGAAGTTGGATAGGAGTGTGGTCGATCCAGTGTGACACTGAGTGGCAGTGGCCTGACAGATTCATTACGAATTTCTAGGCTGAGAAAACAAAAGAAAGCCAAAAAAAAAAAAAAAAAAAAAGAGACCGTCCATCGGAAACGAGGGGAGAGTGCTTCCAAGCCTTTGTGATTTGATGGTGGTGGTTGCAACAACAGT